TGTAATTTCCTCTGGTAATTATCTCTCTGGTATCCAAAATATCTGAGCAATATCTTTAGATTAATACAAATTTTATGTTTTTTAAATTATGTTTGATAAAATATAATTTCATATTTAAAATGTGAACAACATACTCATTGCTTTTATAATACAGACTACAGAAGGTGAATTTCAGGAAACTATTCTTATCTAGTAGATTCTGAGTGTGAGGAAAAGGCTTTGAAACATTGTTCTGTTTGACCTCTGATTATTTAAATTTTTTCTTTTTTAATTCTGTGGCATGTGTGCTTTTTATGGTGAGTGACCTCAAATTCCTTCTGGAAGTAAACGGGGAATAAATTAGAAACACTGTGACTCAGATCAAATGCGATTTGTGGAGTTTAATGGCTAGATTCCTGCCCCCTGCCCCCTGCCCCACTCTAGTTGGAGAGCACTCCTTTTCAGGGGTTCATCCTGGGAAACAAAACTCAGGGGCTGCCCTTCCAGATGTCCAACATGACAATGCCGCCTGGCCCCAGAGTCCCTCCCTGGCTCTATAATTTCCATATCCCCTTCTCCAACTCTTCTCCCCACAACCACAGTCTTAGCATTTAACAATTAGCAACAAACTGCTAATTTAGGAATTAGCCCTAAGTATCCTGGGCTAATCTTTGAGCGCACGTTAATATCTCTACGTTCTTCTTCCTCTTAGGAAAACCATGTAGCACTGTGCATATGGTACACAGTGAAGGAATCTTAGATAGTGGGAATAATGGTAATGCATCTTTCAAGGAACTTTCTTTATTCAAGGGATTAATATCAATTGTTAGAATTTCAAGAATTGGGTCAAGTCAGTCAGAATAAATTCCAGGCAAGGCAACCTTTCAGTTCCCTTCAGTAAGCACTACGGAGGCTGGTTCAGAATCTACCACTTCCTACCATTTGCAATACTTCCCCCACCTCCAATTTTACTTTTTCTTTCTTGCTCTCCTTCTTTAAAAAGACTTATTCTATTATTCAAGTTATTTATGTCATATTTTACCCAACTTTGACTTATTTCTGGAACATTTAAAGAAACTGCCTGATCCTCTAGGTCCTAGTTACAGCAGTGGTGGGGGAGGAGGGGCAGAAAAAGGAAACCTGACTCGTAGATAACAGGATTTGAGTCCAGTTGCTTATTTTAGCATCTTCATGGGTAAAGAAATTGCTGTGAACTGAGATCCTGAGCTCTATAGTAAATGATATAGCATTGAAGTTGTACAAGTTTGCTGAAACACTGCTGTGATCACTAGTTTCCTGAGCTATGAGTATGACAATGTTTATCAATTTAAATCTAACAGGAGAATTCATAAAAACACACTGGATACAAGGGATCGGGGGAAAACATACCCAGAAACTTCCTGACAATATTTTGAACATTGTTATAGGCACTCACATCCATATTCTCCTGTATCATTATGAAAACTAGCTTGAGCTAATAAAAATATTTGCCATCTTATTTCACAGAAAACTAAATGGAATTGTGAGAGACAGTGACAAAAGCCCTTTTGGAAATAAATAAGAATAAGCAATGTATATACATCAGTCTCTTAAAGGTTTAAATACGTTCTTCAGAGTGGGGTCCCCCAGAACTACGGCTCCCAACCTTCTTTGGTTCCACTACTGTTCCAACAACCTCAAGAGCAATCCATCCTGTTACCCCTTCTTCTCACAGGACAAAAAGAAAAAAACATTCTTCTCCCTGCCCTATCCAAGTGGGTCACTGCTGCTTTTCTCCAAAGAGAAAAGCCTTTCTTACAGAGGTTTGCAAAGTTCTGATGTGGTTCACTGCATAGTCTAAATGCTGGAAGTGGTTACAGCCAAAGGTCAGAGAACACGGCTATTCAGCAGGGATAGGATATGTCTGGGAAAGACACAGGCTGAGATTTAGGCCACCTCTGGGGAGATGATTTGCGTTTACTGGATACTTACTGTTTATTGGTGTTCATGCTCTTCTATGGTCTTTTTTAATGTCCTAAATTAAAAGTGGCATTTTAAACATCTTAAAGGTGATTTGCAATTTTTTTTTAAATAAAAATGATCCAATCATCCTATAAACAGCAGAACTGCCATCTTCTGTAAATAGAACTGGCAAGTATTTCATCAGTCTTAAAATATCACCTCCCTTGATTTCCCACCACCCTCCCACCAATGCCTCCCTTTCCTTCCCTGAGTTCCTTAAAGCAACACTCCAGAATGCTCTAGTCCAGGACCTCATTATCCCATGTTAATGCTAAAGAGACTGGCAGAAGCTGGCTTGAGGAGGTACCCAAGGCTTATTGTTTTTCATGGGCTGTCATGAATGCGGCCGGGGTTCTTAGTTTTCTTTTATTCCCCACGACTTAGGGAAGAAGAGCACTCAAACTTTAGAAAATGGATAAAATAGCAAAATTTGAACCATGGGTAATGTCCTCCTAAGCTTCAGGACTTAACCTAGATTATTCTATTTTCCTGGGCACAAGACAAACAGGAGCTGCTTACAGAGTTGGAAGCAGGGCTTTCCTGCATAACAAGCTTCAAAAAAGAGGGGAAGAAATAAAATAATGGAATATTCTGATGCTTGAGTAAAATCCTAATTTTACTTTGCCATAATTGGCATCATCCCTGCTTATAGAAGCCCTCGACTTCGACTTTGAGCAATTCTCAAAAAAGGTACTTCCACCCTCTCACCATCTGCATGGGCAGTCAATGGAATTCTGAAATACAAACAGCCACTTGGAGGTTTAATTATATTGGTGAGGTGCCTGGAAAATGCTCAAAGATTAAGAATCCCAGTTTCCCTGGGCATGGTACAGCCATCTTTCTTGTGGTGGGACAATTCAAATCCATCCATCCTTCCTATAGGTATATAGCTATCAAGCAGTGACTATAGTTTTCTACAACCACAAATTTCTCCCTTCTTCCATGAGAGAACCTTAATTCTCAGGTAGGCACAATTCTGCCTGGAATAAAGATTATATTTGACAGATGTGGCCACATGGCTAAGTTCTGGTCAGTATTATGTAACAGAAGTTTGTGGCATATCTGCAAGGGATCCTTAAAAATAAGGAGTCACCTTCTGCTACCTAGAATGTAGATTTTATAACCGGAGCTCCAGCAGCTACCTTGGACAACAAAGTGACCAACCCTGAGTACAGAAGCCAAATGTTGATAATGGAGAGAAGACCTGAGCTTAGGTCCCTGAGGATACCCCAGTGAGCCACCAAACCACCCCCCTCGTCTACCTACCCCAGCATTCATCTTATCAAATCTCTTGTATCCAGTGTTAAGTTGTTTGATTTATGGCAACTGAACAAAATTTTAACTGGCATGCCTATCACACAGTCCATGGAGCCTGCCTGGTCTGGACAAGAAATTAAACTCCCCTCCTCTGCAGAAATTTTTTCACTTCATCTAAAGATTATATATCCAAAGAGAACCCATAAGAATACACTAGCCTAGAATCATTCCCACAAGAGCAAAGGCTTGAGATCAGCTCTGCCTTTGCCCATTGTCACCAAACCCAGGTAGACAAGTCGACCACTTGAAACCTAATTAAAACAGCACACTGGGTTTACGATGGAGCCCACTATCCATGAGAGACTGGGCAGAGGCCACCAACTTCATCATTCAGGCCCCAAAGGGGACCTACAGTATAGCATGGCATCCCTGCACACAACTACTAACCCCCTTTTGCTTCACCACTGTAATCAATAACAATACATTATTAGGACCATAATGGTATACTGGGATGGTGCCTTCTGGTTTTACAAGTCCTCATGGGTATAATAAGATCCTAAATATAAAACAATATTAATAGTGCTAACAATAGATATCACTTACTGTTCAATACCATATAACTGCTGGTGTGGTATTTCGCTAGCACTCTGACTGAAACATATTATCTGAAATTCAAAATATTATTATCCTTATTTTACCGAGGAGGAAACCAAGGCTCTGAGAGATAATGAATTTAGCTAAGACTATGCAGCCAACCCATGGCAGTGGTTACTGCTGAATCCAGAATTTTTCTATGAGCTTAAAAATATTCTAGCAGCACAATCATTTCACTCAAAATGTTAGATAAAATAATCTCAAGAAAATCTGTTTTTCTCACTTCAGAACTACAATAAAACATTCTAATCTTACCCCCATATTAACATGAGCATTTCTTAAAACAAAGCAAAAGAACCAACAAAAGCATGATAGAATTTGTCCACAAATGGTAAACGGTGCTAAAATACAAATGAAGCAAATCAAAAAAGTTTTTTTTTTTTCTGAATTTCACCTTTTGCTAACAGTTTCAATTTCAGGGTGACCTATATGTTTTCATAACAAGGGTCACTATGCACCTTTTAATCCAAAAACATCAAAACTAAAAAGAAACCCCATAACAACATGTTCTTGTATAATTACATCTCTTTATGCCATTCCTTTTGAAACAGGTCTATTTCCCACCTCTTTCTTGAGCTTCCACTTTCATAAAAGGAAAGAACACGGAAAGAAATCAAGCCCCTAAACATTCATTGAAAACATCAAGCAATTTATCTAGGACTCAAACAATAAATGAGTTAAAAAAACAAATGAGGGGAAGAAATGAATCTTTCTATTAAAAATAAGATGTGCAAGTATGAATGTTTGTGTTTCCAAGCTATTTCTAGTCTAAAGAGCTATGTCAAATATGGTAATTATATCAAAGGTTTATCATTAGAACTGTTAATATTTTCATGGGCTGCAGAAAGCTAAAGAATTAAAATTTGCCCATGAGAAGAAAGTCAAACGGAAGGTTAGAGCTCCCTCTTTCTTTTTCTTGAAGAAATTCGCCAAAGCCTCTCCTAGGAGACCAAAGTTATCAAGCAGACAGCTGAGGAACACTCATGCTCAAAGTGTTTCCACAGTCTCCGTATACATGCTACAAGGATTGGAGTACATTTATTGACAGTTCATTATTCATAAGAGATTTAAGTAGTAGAAAAAGCACTTTTAAAAGTAGAAATACTCACAAAGCCATTTCAAACTGTTCCAGCCATTTTTTCTTTAAATCTTTTGTTTTGCAATAAAATTCTAACCCATTTTGTCCTTGGGTATGGATGAGGTAGAAGCCATAAGACCACTGTTGAAATTAATATTCCTCAGGTTAATATGTATCACTCAGTAATAACATCACGCTTCCAAATTCACTAAAACACCACCATAATCATCCACAAACCGCTCATAACATTAACAGCACACAAACTCTGAACAGATTTTTGTAGTCAACTTTATAACAGTTCTTACGTCAAATGCATTATAGATGACCATTAAGGCATTAGAGACGATCATTATCACTTGCGGCACTGTCCAATTATTTCTCACAGAGGCTTGCTCCTAATCAATCTCTAGAAAGAAAAATCACCTGCATTGATAAGCCCTCTCACATTAATGTATTAGCATCCTTTCCTTGAATGGTCAAAGTTATGAGCAAATTATGGTAACTTTCAAAAATTCACCTTTTTATTTTCTTTATCAGTTGTAGGATTGTTGGCTATTTTGTATTGCTGAAGATCTATTATTTCCTTCATTTCATAGTTATCGCCTTTCCTTTTACATACAATCACTGCCAAATCAAATAAGAAGATATGCCTGAGAGAGAGAAAGAGAAATTTAAAATGGTTTGGAAGCATGTATGTTAACTTTTCCTTGGTAAAATTTAATTAAACCAACCAAACTTGTTTCTTTGAGTTAAAGACAAAGGCAGTATTCCATACTGAAAAGAATGAACTGTACATAACCTGGCACTACCCTTTACGGAATGAATGGCCTTACTCTACCTTAGTTTCATTTTAAAAATATGCAAAATTATAATAAGAATATACACATTACAGAGTTGCTATAAGGAACAACTAAGTCACAAAGTGTCCAGGAGCAATTTTTTTTTTTAAAGATTTTATTTATTTATTTGACAGAGAGATAGCACAAGTAGGCAGAGCGGCAGGCAGAGGGAGAGGGAGAAGCAGGCTCTCCGCTGAGCAGGGAGCCGGACATGGGGCTCGATCCCAGGACCCTGGGATCATGACCCGAGCCGAAGGCAGCCGCTTAACCGACTGAGCCACCCAGGCGCCCCCAGGAGCAATTTTTTTTTTTCAGTTTAAAACCTAGACATTTACAGAATACTAATGACAACAATAGCAGTGAACTTCTGATGTTTCGAGGAGTCGGCCAAAATGTGTTGAGAAGTGTCCATCCCTTTCACAAAGATGACTCACTTAATTTAAATCCCCAGGACCATCTGCTAAAGTATTATTTTCATCTTTATTTTATTGGGGAGGAAACTGAGGATTAGAGAAGTTAAATAATTTGCTCAAGGTCACATAGCTAATGAGGGGCAGAGCAGGATTCACACCCAGATCTAATTGTGGAACCTGCACTTTTACCCTCTATGTCGCTCCTCGTGATTTTATGGACCACCTGAAACACAAATTGAGCAGCATATGAGCAAAATGCAAATTAGAAAAATTATGGTTATATTTAGGTGTTGATATTTCTCTTAATTTTTAACAACAATGTAACTGGGGGAAGAAAAACAAACTTGTAATCCTATCATCCAATACCAATATTTTTATCTTTTAGAAAATTCTCAGGAATTAACATGTATACATTTTTAAATAATGATAATGACAATGATACAGTCACATAGCTCTAATACTTGCATCACTTTCAAAGACTATTTTCCTGGAGAGGCTGAAAAGGGTATGTCTCTCCTGGTAGCTACCTGTAGAGCCTGGTATCATGTTGGAAGAGCTGACACTGCCCCCTGCTGGCTAATTTTCCTGGTTCAAAGTTTCCAGCAAATGGCCATTTTAACCAAATGAATCAGTTTAGCAATCCTATGTATATAATTCGGGATACCAGGCCAAGCTCACTAACCTGAACTTCCCTCAAGAAAATATCGCGAAATGATCCCCACTCAGACTTAATTCTTAGGGCATTTTGTATTTTTAGTTGTTTTCAAATGTATACCAAAAAAAGCAATCAAACAATTGTGTTGTCTATTACTTTATCTCTACTCTCATTTCAATGTGTCCCTCTGAGCCTCAGCAGACATTTTATATTTGTCATATCCCTCTTAAGAACTTAGACAAATCAACAGATACCAAAACATAGAGGAGAAGACCTAACATATCTATGAGAAAATTGTAGAAAACCATAGGTTGGTCTGTCCCCTTGTTTTTCTTCCTCTGCTTCCCTCCTTTGTCCTAGAATTGTTTTCTCAATCTTCTGATACTAACCACTTATTCTGAAAATAAGTATTGCTCTTCTTTTCTCACCTTTCTTGTTTCGTATGCTTGTCTAGGGTAGTTATTCGAATTTCACCATCTCCCTGAGGTCGTCCAAAAAGCAAAACTGGTTGGTTCTAAAATATAAAATTTACATGTCTCAGCTTTTCGTAATCATGTAAAAACAGAAATAAATATTAGCGAGGATATTTGCTAGGGACAACTACTTTATTACATGACAAGTTTTATCATTTCACATTTTTAGCACACTTAGTCTAAAAAGCTCAGGTCTATATGATTCACTTTCAAAAACAGTCTGTCCTTGGATAGCCTAGGAGGTATACTGAGGACATTAATTAATTTTACTTATAACTTAATAGGGAAGTTAGCTACCAAAAGCAAGAATTAACTGGAAGAATTCAAATGATAACAAAGTTACAGCAACTAATACTTATTAAGCACGAACTGTGCCAGACATGGTAGTAAATATAGGGCAAAGTTTCCCCCTACCCAGTGGGGGGGGGGTATTTACAGAAGTATATAACTATAAATGTGAAATTTCCATGAAGAAAGAGTACAGTAAACATGCATTGCCAGGGGCTTAATTTGTTCTAGGAAGTCAAGCATAGCTTCCTTGAGCTAAGATCTCAAGAGTGAAAAGTATGACTTAATGATTAAACATAATGAACCATTTTCCCAGAGGCAGACACTAAAAAATATTAAGTATTTATGAACACCTACTGTACAAGGTGTTAAGGGGAAAAAGAATTGACTGAAAATTATCACTAACATCTAGGAGATTATATTCTAATAAAGGAAGCAGATACGTAATTAATTAACTGTGCTGCAAGAAAGTATAAAAACAGATATTCCCTATTAAAGTCCCCATGATGTATTTTGCAGAAATAGAAAACTCATCCTAAAATTCATATGGAATTTCAAGGGACCCTTAATAGGCAAAATAATCTTGAAAAAAGAACAAAGTTGGGGTCTTAGTCTTCCTAATTTCAAACCTTATTACAAAACTATGGTAATCAAAACAGTATGGCACTTGCATAAAGACAGACTTCTAGACCAATGGAACAGAACACCTGGAAATAGGTCCTCATGGAACCCTCCTACACTGTTGGTGGGAATGCAAGCTGGTGCAGCCACTCTGGAAAACAGTATGGAGGTTCCTCAAAAAGTTTAAAATACAGATACCATACGACCCAGCAATTGCACTACTGGGTATTTACCCCAAAGATATAAACGTAGGGATCCAAAGGGGTACGTGCACCCCGATGTTTACAGCAGCAATGTCCACAACAGCCAAACTGTGGAAAGAGCCAAGGTGTCTACTGACAGATGAATGGATAAAGAAGATGTGGTATATATGTACAACGGAATATTATGCAGCCATCGAAAGGAATGAGATCTTGCCATTTGCAACGATGTGGATGGAACTGGAGGGTATTATGCTGAGCGAAATAAGTCAATCAGAGAAAGATATATATCATATGACCTCACTGATAGGAGGAATTCTTAATCTCGGGAAACAAACTGAGGGTTGCTCGAGTGGTGGGGGGTGGGAGGGATGGGGTGGCTGGGTGAAAGACAATGGGGAGGGCATGTGCTATGGTGAGCGCTATGAATTGTGTAAGACTGCTGAATCACAGACCCATACCTCTGAAACAAATAATACATTATATGTTAAAAAAAAAAGAAGAAGAAGATAGCAGGAAGGGGAAAATGAAAGGGGGGAAATTGGAGGGGGAGACGAACCAGGAGAGACTATGGACTCTGAGAAACAAACTGAGGGTTCTAGAGGGGAGGGGGTGGAGGGATGGGTTAGCCTGGTGATGGGTATTAAAGAGGGCATGTACTGCATGGAGCACTGGGTGTTATACGTAAACAATGAATCATGGAACACTACGTCAAAAACTAATGATGTAATATATGATTAACGTAACATAATTAAAAAAAAGAAAAAAAGAAATAGGCCCTCGTATATATGGTCAAAGGATTTTTGAAAACAGTACCAAGATCATTCAATGGGGATAGCATAGCCTTTTCAACAAAAGACTCTGGGGAAACTGGATATGCATAGGCAAAAGAATGAAGTTGGACCCTTACCTTATACAGTATACCACATTGATCAAAGAACTAAAAATATAAAACTCTTAGATGAAAACACAGTAGCAAAGTTTTATGACATTGGATTTTGCAATGATTTCCTAGATATACCACCAAAAGTACTATCAACAAAAGGCCAATAAGTTGAAATTCATCCAAATTAAAAATTTTATGCAAAGGATACTATCAACAGAGTGAAAAAGCAACCTACAGAATGGCAGAGAATACTTGCAAACAAAATGTGACAGGAATTGATATCCAGAATATATAAAGAACTCTTATAACTCAACAACAAAAAACAAGCAAACGTGATTCAAAAATAGGTAAAAGACTTGAATAGACATTTCTTCAGAAAGATACACAAATGGCCAAAAAGCATATGAAAAGATACTCAATATCCCTAATCATTAGGGAAATACAAAGTAAAAACCATAATAAGATACTACTTTGTACCCATTTGGATGGATATTAAAAAAAAATTTAAAAAGAAGGAAAGAAAAGAAAAGAACAAGTGTTGGCAAGGATGTGGAGATACTGGAATTCCTGTGCATTGCTGGTGGGAATGTAAAATGGGGTGGTCACTGTGGAAAACAATATGGCTAGTCCTCAAAAAATTAAACCTAGAATTACCAGACAATCCAGCAATTCCACTTCTGGGTAAATAACCAAAAGAAGTGAAAGCAGGGAGTCAAGCATATATTTGCATACCCATGTTCATAACAGCATCATTCACAATAGCCAAAAGGGGGAAGAAATGCAAGTGTCCATAGATGAATGAATAATCAAAATGTGGGGTATATACAATGTTATATTTTAAAGCCTTAAAAAGGAAATTCTTTAAAAAAAAAATCAAATTCTGATACATGCTACAAGGATGGACACTGAAGACATTATGCTAAATAAAATATGCCAGTTATAGAAGGACAAATATTACATGATTCCACTTATATGAGATACCTAGAGTAGTCAAATTCACAAAGACAGAAAGTAAAATGGTGGTTGCCAGGGGCTGGGAGGAGGGAAGAATGGAAAGTTAGTGTTTAATGGGTATAAGGGCTTCAGTTTCACAAAACGAAGAGAGTTCTGGAGATGGAAAGAAGTGATGGCTGCCCAACATGAATGTATTTAACATCACAAAATTGTACATTTAAAAATGGTAAATGTCATATATATTTCACACACACACACACACACAATGTTAAACAGCTGTCCAGGCAATATGCTATGGAATTACAAAGAGAAAGTAATAATGGGAGATTAGGGAAAGAATTATTTTAGTTGGATGGTAAGCATTTTTTTAAAAATTTATTTATTTGACAGAGAGAGAGACACAGTAAGAGAATTATTTTAGTTGGATCTTACGCATTTTTTAAAAAGATTTATTTATTTATTTGACAGAGAGAGAGAGAGAGAGACAGTGAGAGAGGGAACACAAGCAGGGGGAGTGGGAGAGGGAGAAGCGGGCTCCCTGCGCGGGGCTCGATCCCAGGACCCTGGGATCATGACCCGAGCCGAAGGCAGACGCCTAACGACTGAGCCACCCAGGTGCCCCTTTAGTTGGATCTTGAAGGAATAGGAAATAATGGGAAGACATCCTAGGCTTTGATATTATCATCATCAAAGGCAGAACGATAAAAATGTACAGCAAATTAGAGACCTTTCAACACAGCAGGAGAGCCATAAAGTGAAGTATGTGGGCAGGTACCAGCTGGAAGAGTTCAGAAAGTAGTTTAAGCCCAAATCACTGAGGGCTTTAAATATCATGCTAAGGAATGTTGACTGAATCCTAAAGGCAACGGCAAATGCTGACGAGGCTGGGAAAGAGAATGAATCGAGAAGTCTGCCATCTGGAAACGCAACTACGTGAAGGAATGGATGGAGGCTTTGGTGACTACAAAGGTGGCAGATGAGGTTCTGAAAGGGGGACATGACTGTACATGTGAAAAGTTGTCTCAGAGAAAGCGGCAATAAAACTGCTTGACCAAGAAAAGTGTCTTTCCTTCATACGTGCAACTCTATTTTCACCACCCACAGCTCCATCCAGGCCTCCACCAACTCTTTCTTGAAACCACTCAACAGCTTGCTGACTGGCCTGCCTGCTAGAAGGGTTTTCTTGAGATGTAAATCAGAATGAAACTCTCCTAGAGAAACCTTTACAAGCTTCCCATTGTAATCCCAGTAAAACCCCAGCTCAATGCCTTGGCCTATAAGGCTGGGGGACATAGCCCTCCCACCTCAGAGCCCCTCGCTCACCCAGCCACGCTTGCCTTTCAACCTCTTGAACACCCCCAGGTTCTGGCCCATCTCTGGGCATTCCACCTGCTGTGGCTTCTGCCTGAAATCCTCTTCCCCAGATCCGTACACCACTGGCTCCTTCTTATGCTTCAGGTTCAAGAGGAAAAGGACTGAGAAGGACTTTTTCTAACCATCTCATCTAAACGAGGACTCTCCTTAGTATCCTCTGCTGCCCCACCCTGTTCACAGCATGAATCTCAGTAGAGCATTTTTATTTTTTTTTTAAGATTTTATTTATTTGAGAGAGAGAGAGAAAGTGAGCATGAGCAGGGGGAGGGGCAGAGAGAGAAGCAGACTCCCTGCTTAGTGGGGAGCCCGACGTGGGGCTCGATCCCGGGACCCTGGAATCATGACCTGAGCCGAAGGCAGACGCTTAACGACTGAGCCACCCAGGTGCCCCTCAGTAGAGCATTTTTAAACTCTCTTGTTATTGCCTCCTCAACCATGAAGCCATGCTGTTCATAGTTACAGCCCCGGCCCCAAGCAAAACATCTGGCACTCAGTAGTCACCCCGTAAATATATATAAAATGAATACATTAACAGGAATCAGCCATGAGTATGTGTGGGGTAAGGGAAAGAAAAGAAAAAAATGAACTCCAATGTTCAGAATCTGTACAGCCAGGGGAAGAGGCATAGTGTGATTAAAGAGAAAGGGACAAGTAAAGGCAGAAAGTCCTTGGACAATGACACACATATCACAGGTGCCACAAGACATCCATGTGGATGCTGCCAAACAAGAATCAGGAAAAAAAAACCTATGACAATGGAAACTTCAAGGTAAACTATCTTTTCTGCAAAAACAACTTGTAGGATGTCCTCTGATTTGTGAGTTAGGGAAGTTGGATAGCAGGATAATTACATACCAGATTTTCTATAGAGAGCTGAAACTGTTTAATTTCACGAAGGGTCTCATTATCTCTTTTCACTTCATTCACATATTGTGCCAAGTCCTAAAGAATAAAGAGAAGGGTACAAAAAGAAGTCATGATAAGACTGGAGAAGAGATGAAAACTGTTTGAAAGAAAACACATCATTAATTTCATTAGCAGTAAAAGTAATCACCATAACTTTTCAATGACAATAAGATGAACATCCAATCAATCAAAGCTGCAACTCAAAAGCAATTTTAAAATGTCTGGAGTACAGCTGGGAAGACTAAAGAGTTGTCATTTACCACACCTCTGAGAAGAACAAGGATAAAAAACAACAACAAAAAAAATCTGCCACCCTGCAGAACAAGAGGAAACTTGGTCAGGAGAATGCAAATTCCAAACACGTTAATAACTGACCTTGGGAGAATCACATTCTTACACGGGTTAGAATAAGGTCAATAATGCAAGAATGAAGGATTAGCAGGGAGAAAAATGGTAACTAAAAGTTAGACAATGGGTCCAGCAGGACTGTTTTCTGCAACCAGTTGGTGTCTTAGTTCCTGAGAGCTTTCAGTCAAGCCAGCCAGTTCAATTTTAAAGAGTTAATGAAGGAGAAGCAAAGGAGAGGAGAAAAACCTCAGAGCACTAAAACGAATTAAAAGCGAACAAACAATGCTAGACACATTTCTCCATGTGCCTTCTTCCCCTACTTTAAAATGTCTTTTCTCGTATTTGAGGAAACATTAGCTAATCTTTCCATACTGTAAGTAGCTATTTTTATTATATGTGCTCTAGATTTTCCTGTTTTCTGGGTTTTCTTTTTTTCTCCACCCTCTTAAATTCATCTGCAACAGCAGGAACAGAACTCGGACAAAAAGCAGTTCCTAACTTTGTTCTAAATGAAAGTCTGACTTTTCATCGGATGTATCTATAAATGATTTTTTTTTTAAATTGGAAACTTGGTATGACTTTGGAAAAGAGTAACAAATAATTGTGTGATGGTTCTTGGCAGGCTACTGAAATCAGCTAAACAGCAGAGCCAGCACTGACCCTGGCACAGGGACGCAGAGTAGCCTTTAACCTTGTTCTGAGTACAGTCACATTGGCGTTTTGTTTTGAGAACAAATGTTTGCTTATATTTTAAGTTAGGGGCAAATAAATATTCCTTTCATAGTCAACATGCAGCACAATGTAGAAATTGGGGTGTTACAGGTTGCCCAATATGTTTAAAACCCTGCCTTATCTACTTGGAGCTCTTGATTTTCAGATTTATCTAAAAATAGAAATAGTTTTCACCCGAACTGAAATCCACATGTGCTGATGCACAGCATCCACCGAAGGCCAACCTGGCAGATAGCCTCACTTGAAAATAATTAACACCAGTGTTCTGAGATCACCAGCTGATCTGCTACCTACACAAGCCAACAGTTTTCTTTTTCTTTCTTTAATTATGTTATGTTAATCACCGTACATCATTAGTTTTTGATGTAGTGTTCCATGATTCATTGTTTGCATATAACACACAGTACTCCATGCAGTACGTGCCCCCTTTAATACCCATCACCAGCCTAACCCATCTCCCCACCCCCCCCTCTGGAACCCTCAGTTTGTTTCTCAGAGTCCATAGTCTCTCATGGTTCGTCTCCCCCTCTGATTTCCCCTTCATTCTTCCCTTCCTGCTATCTTTTTTTTTTTAAACATATATTATTTGTTTCAGAGGTACAGGTCTGTGATTCAACAGTCTTGCACAATTCACAGTGCTCACCATAGCACATACCCTCCCCAATGTCTATCACCCAGCCACCCCATCCCTCCCACCCCCACCACTCCAGCAACCCTCAGTTTGTTTCCTGAGATTAATTCCTCATATCAGTAAGGTCATATGATACATGTATTTCTCTGATTGACTTATTTCGCTCAGCATAACACCCTCCAGTTCCATCCACGTCGTTGTAAATAAGCCAACAGTTTTCTATTAGTAACCACAAAAAGAATGTGAAATAAAACCATTGTATTAAATCATTCCCGGTGGTTATAAAAGTTGTCATACTTTCATAAATAACAAAAGTTATTTTAATAAACCTCTTGGTTTTATGTATCTTTGTCTAACAATTAAATCCATGCAAGGATATCTATTTCACTTAAGAATATCCAGTTCTCTGGGGGCGCCTGGGTGGCTCTGTCAGTTAAGCACTTGCCTTCGGCTCCAGCTCAGGTCATGAGTCCAGGGTCCTGGAATCAAGGCCTGCAAATGGCTCCCTGCTCAGCGAGGAGACTGCTTCTCCCTCTCTCTCTGCTGTTCCCCCTGCTTGTGCTCTCTCCTCTCCCTCTCTTTCTCTCAAATAAATAAAATCTTAAATATATATATATATATATCCAGTTCTCTGGGGGCGCCTGGGTGGCTCCGTCAGTTAAGCGTCCTACTCTTGATTTTGGCTCAGGTCACGATCTCAGGGTTTTGAGATCGAGCCCTGTGTGGGGAGGCTCTGTGCTCAGCTCAGGACTCTGCTTGAAGATTCTCTCCCTCTGCGCCTCCCCCGAATCGCACACACTCTCTCCCTCTAAAATAAATAAATAAATCTTTAAAAAAAAATATCCAGCTCTCCCCACCAAATACAACACTATACAAATACTTATAACATATCAGCATATCATACGTATGTATTAGCAGTCTGTCGTCTGTTGTTTTTAGGCAGGGATAAAAAAAAATACAAAGAACTTAATGATACATTTGCCTTACCTTCATTGCATCAAGAGCCAATTTCAGATTTGCCTTCTCCATAGGATCAGTGGTATGTTTGACCAATTCCTATTGGGAAGATACAGTTCAGTACTACATTCATCAATTAAAACCAAAATATAAGAAAGAAAACATTTTTTAAAAATAAACCATTTTTATCACTATTTGCACCATAATGTAATAAATCTGATGCAACTTAACTAGGTTCTATTTTCATAAAAAAATCTCAAACTGTAAGAAGACCAACTAGACATCAAAAGAACAGGAGACAATGGTTGGAAACACTTCCCTTTCAAAGATGAACCTGAATTCTATCCCCTGCCATTATACTGACATCCTTCCCAAATGTCGTGAAAGACCCCAACATTGCCAACTGATTCTGATGACTACTCCTCTCCCTTGGCTTCAGGGACATTAGGGTCTTTTGTTTGTTGCTATTATTATTGTTGGTTAGTTCATCTTAAATTTTCTGCCAATTGACCAGTCTCTCATACTTTCTCCTTTATCTGTACCTTCGAAAGTCACCATTCCCTAGATTTTCACCTTAGTCTTCTGTTATTCTTACTATACCTACTCTACAAATCCTATCACAATCATCTCCATAACATCAACACTCACCTTATAAGACAATCACTCTCAAAGGAATGTGCTCAAACCCAGAACTCACGCCTGAGTCCCATACTCTTCTGTCCAACTAAACAGTTCCACCTGGGTATCTCACAAGCCCATCTAACCCAACAATTCCAAACTTAAGGCACCTTCACCCACAACCCTGCTCCGGTTCCTGTTTATGTTTTATTGAATGATGGCACCTCCATCAATGGAATTGCCTAAGCCAAAACCTAAAAAGTGTCCCAGGTGCCCCTCTCCCACACTATGTTCTGGTGATACTGACTTTGATCCTTCCCCTGGAAACCATCCTCACTGCCACTACTTTGGTTCAAGTCCTTACTCTTTTTCAATGGGTTATTATAAATTGGCTTCTGACTTGTAGCCTCTCTGGACTACAATCTATTCACTCTATTGACATCTGAGCTAGGTTTCTAATATATAAATTGGATCCTGTCTCTACCCTATTCAGATTTCTGTGATGCCCACAAAAGCTTCAGATTGTCATCCATACCTCTTAGACCCTTCACAGTCTGAATTCTGCAAACCTCTCCCAACTTCTCTCTCCGCTCTACCCAAACAATCTATATTCTATTCACAATAAATCAGCTGCAATTCTCAGAATACATTCTAATGTCTGATCCCATTAGACATGCGGTTTGCTCTCCTTAGAAAGCCCTTCCTCTCTGATACACTTATTGAACTCTTACTGTTCCCTTCATGGCCAGTTCAAGAATCACTCCTCAGTGAAGCTTTCTATGACAGAGGCCTCCTTAAGTGCCCAGCCTCCCCAGGCATAATGAACTAGGCCTGTATTTGTATTACCTCCATACTTTCTGTCTACCTATCACACTGTATGGTACCTGGAAGCCTACGTTTCATTCTCCCTATCTAAACAGTGAGCTTTATCAGTGCGGGGAGACGAGGGCTGTTTTATACCATGAATATCTAACACTGTGTGTTGAACAGGGGAGCCACTCAAAAATCTTTGCTGAGTGTAGTACAAGTAGCGTTTCTACTTTTAAAGAGGACGTACAGCCATCAGATTTGTTAAATATGAGAAATTTGTCCAAGTAATATTCTTTTACTCTTATTTACTTTTCCTTTATTAATGATAGTAAATTATGCTCAAAGTTCCAAATCCCCCACTCTCAAATATTCTAAATTTATAAATCTGTGATTTCAAACCATAAAGTATTTCAAAAATTATTTCCCCACTAAAGTACAGCAGTAAGTAGAAAATGTTCAAATTCATACCACATTAATTCAACAAATGTCTAAACATTAGACAAATTCTACTCTACACTGTCAAGATGGAAAAACATTTCTAGAATTTTTATCTCTATGTGTTACCCCAAATAAAACGTTCCCTATTTTAAAAAATCATAAAACTAAATAATCTTTTGAAATTTAAAATATAAAACAATCCAAGAGGGATTAAGAAAAAAGTCTGCTGAATTTCAAAAAGGTATAGTCATATTTTAAACTTTTATAAGTCTCTTTAGAACTTTATAAATGATCAAAATAGATGTTTCTTGAAAACTGCACCTTTTAAATTCTTCAATTGATATTTGACTACACCAAAGTTACAAAATAAATTATCTTATTTTGGACATGTTTTTAGTTTCATGATGTCTCAGAAACTGATTGCTTAAGTCCTCATTATTCTTTCATAAAATCCAATTTGATTAAGTTGTTTTGAGTTTAGGTCTCATAAATGTTTTAATGCATTTTTAAGAAATAATCAGGGTTTGAATTTTTCTGATTTCTCAGTAGAACAAAAATAGAAATGACTAATAATTTTGCAACTACAGTTCAAGGAATTTAATATACGAGATGTTAAAGCACAGCAGACTCAAAATTATATTTCACATACAGGTAGTAGATCTTTTTAAAATGACATTTCACAAGCATCAGCAGAGTTGACAGACTAATGCTGTAAGACATTTCCTTGGAGCAGAACTAATGAGCCTCCTGGTACAGCTATCAAATTAAATTTATAAGACTCTCCACCCTCATTAGAGGACTAACTGTGGAAACCATAAGCTTTGTGGTTATAACAAGAGTCACTTCAAAATAAATGTAGTCTTATTATAATTCACTATAGCAGAAAGCAACATGGAATGTGACAGAATTCTTTTTAGTTTATGGTTATAAGGCAAAAAGTCCAAAACACTTAACCTGCCAAAATTCAGGGGTATTGCAGCACTGAGATTCTAATAAATGATTCCTGCTAACCAAAGAAGACTTGGTTAAAGGGATCTTTTCGTTTTTCTTTTTTTCTTTTTTTGGAGCCAGTTCTGTTTGAAGGACATAAAAAGTGACTTTGTGGAAGATACAGAATCATCTTTGCTAAAAGAAAAAGTTTCCAGCTATTCTGTTATTTCCCACTTAGCTATATTAATCACTGAAAAATCACAATGGGACACAGTCCCAAACATAGAGTATATGGAGCATAATTGATGTTTCATGAATACTTTGTTAAATGAATACATGAACAAATAAACTGACAGTTTTAAGGTACATACCTGGAGGAGAAGGTGATACTTTAAAACACGTTGCATAGGAACCACAAGCAAATCTCGAAGAGTGAATTTTCCATTATTTGCTCTTTTGGAACATTCCTAATGAAATGTTTTTTTAAAAACATTTTTAAAAACTTTGTTAATTTTATCAAAGGAAGTCATAAAGCAAGCATTAAAAGATGCAGAGGCCATAAACAAAACTCTTATTATATAATAAATATCTTGGTATTTTTCTTAATAATCCTTCCTGAAAAATAGAAAGTATCTAATTAAAAACCAAAAAGACAAACCTTGTAGCATTTCAACTCCAAAATGATACATTAAGCAGAACTATTTCATGCATGAAAATTATTTTCTCTAATGACCCTCTGGGGTCTTCTTCTACCCTTATAGCTCCCCCTTCTACCAATCATCCCCCCGCCGGCCTGTGGGCCTGGCATCAAGAACAAGTCCCTACTCAGCAAACTGGCCATGTGCCTTCCTCATGGGCATGCCTTTTGCTCATTCTGTTCTCCCCAACCACCATGTGCTTGGTCTAGTTTCCAATAAAATTTATCATCCTCTTCAAGAACTATACATCTAGGCCTTTTGTGATAATCCCAATCAAAATTGTGCTCCCTCTGTGCCTTGTGGGCATTTTAAGTGTTGTTGTATACAATATCTTCCCCAATATATCATATCTTTTACAGCTTTAAGAATCTAGTATTTGCTTAATAAGTATTTGTGAAACTAAATGAAATGGAATGATTGACTCCAAAAATTTGCTAAAGTATAAACCTATTATTGGATTCAAAGTTTCAAAAGCCTATTTTTTTAAATCTCATACTCTCTTAAAAGTTTATCTAAAAATAGTATTGACTTGTGTCCATTCTTTTGCCATTAACTATGACTTTGAGGAAAGTACTCTGAAGTATCAAAGCGTGAATTCAAATCAAGGCTTGGCTGTGTAACCTTGAACAAGTTGCTTTTCTGATTTTACTGTTTCTCACATATTTTTGTGACCTAGTTTTAAAAAAATAACAAAGTTCCATAAAATTATTATTATTAGTGAGAAACTAAGTCCAAAATCCTCAGACAATTGCATATCCCAGACCAAGGAATTCTCCAGTTCCTAGAAAAAGATGCATTCAAGAAAATACTGCTTTGTTCATGAGTTTGTTTCCCCTTTGCCCACACTTAGTTTTTCCGGCACACAGAAGGATATATTATCAGGAGCTATAAAAGTAAACGCCATTAGCTCTAATGACCGTAGTGACTTAATGAGTATTTGACTACAGGTCTCAAGCAAGAACTGGGGACACACCTGGACAAGTTAGCTCATGTCTTGTCAATTGCTGTTCACTGGGAAGAATAACTATTTCAACTGATTTCCTGCTTCTACAGATTATGGAGAGTTCTGGATCATGGGTCTCAAATAGGAGGTTAAACTGTTAAGATTATTATAATGAATGAGTCTCATCTCCCTAGCTGCATTTTAAGCTCCTTGGAACTGAGGTTGTATCTTACACTTCATATATATACATATATATATATATATATATATATATATATGCCGTCTTAACATAGTGTTAGGGAGAGAAATGTTATACATTTAAAATTCACTTCGTTATGTTATAGAAGTCAGTTTAAAACTGTTGGGGAAAGAATTCCTTGAAGTTCTAAGTTACAGGCTCAGTAAGTAAAAAAACTAATATTGCTGGCATTTCCTACAACTGGGGAGGAGTCTGAGTCTGAGGTTGTGAAATGCTTATTAGTATTATAAGTAAATAAAGGGTAGAAATGAGTCTTCCAAAACATCTAATCACATGCTTAGCTGAACTCCAATTCTAACTGAGAAGAAAGTAAAGGAATAGGGATGAGGTAGCTTACAGGACAAGACAAGACACACTTTGCCCTATGTTATCTTGGTTCCAAAGTAGAAAAGAAAAAAGATAAAATCACCAAGAGCAAAAGTAACCACAAAACTGAAGACATGGGGTGCCTGGGTGGCTCAGTCGGTTAAGCATCTGACTTTTGATTTTGGTTCAGGTCATGATCTCAGGGTGCTAGAGCCTGCTTAAGATTCTCTCTCTCCCACTCCCTCTGCCCCTCCCCCCCACACACTTTTTATTTTTAAAGATTTTATTTATTTATTTGAGAGAGAGAGAATGAGAGATAGAGAGCACGAGAGGGAAGAGGGTCAGAGGGAGAAGCAGACTCCCCGCCGAGCAGGGAGCCCAATGTGGGACTCGATCCCGGGACTCCAGGATCATGACCTGAGCCGAAGGCAGTCGCTTAACCAACTGAGCCACCCAGGCACCCCCACGCACACTTTCTTAAAAAAAAAAAAAAAAATACTGAAGATGTGAAGGAGGCAGAGACACACGGAGAATAGGGCAGCTTTCCCTTTATCATGACAGGAGTTGCAGAGGACAGTCCCAGCAAAGAGTATCTATTGAGGTGTCACAGTAAGTGTCTGATTCAATACCTGCAAATCAGGGCCCTGGTCAGAAGCAGTTGACTTTTTAGGCAAAAAAGGACAGCCAGCAGCCCCTCGCCCTGAGCCTTTCAAACTCAGCCAGAGGTTCTCTCTTTCCCTCTGACAATGATCATACAACAGTGTTCCTAGAGTCCCAGAGTATGTCACAGGCAGGACATTGACTGTGATCTGAAGGGAGAGGAACATCTAAACAATGCTGAGTATAATGGAGGTTTGACTGACAACTTGCAGACTCCTGTCTTGAGCCAGAGTTTTATAACTTTGTTAAAAACAAACAAACAGGGGGGCGGAGCAAGATGGCGGAGGAGTAGGAGACCTAGATTTCATCTGGTCTCAGGAATTCAGCTGAATAGGGATCAAACCATTCTGAACACCTACGAACTCAACAGGAGATCGAAGAGGAGAGTAGCAACAACTCTCTGAACAGAGAAGCGACCACTTACTGGAAGGTAGGACGTGCGGAGAAGTGAATCCGAGGCGATATTCGGGAGGACAGACGGCAGGAGAGGGGCCTCCGCCGGCCGCTTCTGGCAAGTGATAGAGCCGCGGAGCACAAAATCGGACCTTTTAGAAGTCAGCTCCGCTGAGGGACGTCGCTCCAGTGGCTAAGCGGGGGTGGAACCCTCGCGGGACAGTGGGGTCTCAGGACCCTTGGGGTCACAGAAAGACTGGGGGAGCCTGAGTGCACCAGAGCTCCCAGGGATCGGAGCCAGGAAGCCGGCTGCAGAGACGGAGCTGAGGCGCGGGCTCTCAGCTTGGGGTTGCCATAAACTGTGATCCGCAGCCCAGTCGGGCCACTGCTCCTGCAGCAGGGACCCAACAAGCGGCAGAGCCGGGGGACTGCCATTCCTCCCCCAGGAGGAGCGGCGCGGGAGCGCACCGCAGGGATCTGCTGGGTTTGGAGACTCCACACAGGGTCGGGTGCCAGAAATACAAACGCTCGGTCACAGGCCGGGTGAGCACGGAGTGCGGCCGGAGACCAGGGACAAGGGAGTGACTGCTTTTCTCTGGGGGCGCACTGAGGAGCGGAGCCCCGAGTTCTCAGCTCCTCCGGGTGGAGATTGGGAGGCCACCATTTTTGCCCTGGTCCTCCAAGGCTGTATGGAGAGCTTGCAGGGAACAAAAGCTCCTGAGATCAAACCCGAGCAGCTTGCTTAGCCCGGACCGACAAGGGCGGGGCAATTCCGCCTCCGGCAAAGACATTTGGAAACCACAGCAACAGGTCCCTCCCCCAGAAGATCAGCACGAACAGCCAGCAAGCCAAAACCAAGTTTACCAATCAAGGAGAACAGGAGAACTCCAGCGCTAGGGGAATACTGCACATAGAATTCATGGCTTTTTTTTACTATGATTCATTAGTTCATCAAAGTTAATTTTTGTTAACTGTTTTTTTTTTCTTTTTCTTTTTCCCTTTTTCGACCAACATCTTATCAATCTCTTTTTTAAAAAAAAAAACAAACATTTTTTATTTTTCATTTTTAGAGTCATATTTTATCCCTTCATAGTAGTTACCCTTATTTTTGGCATATATATATAAGTTGTTCTCTCTTTAAAATTTCGAGATACAGTTTCTTCTAACACATAAAAATATACCCTAAATCACTAGTGTATGGTTCTGTTCTAGTCTCCTGCCTGATCACATTCTCTCCCTTTTTTCTTTTTTTTTTTAAATCTTCTTTCTTTTTTCAAACAACTTCTTATCTTATCAAGTCCTTTTATAAAATCTTTTATAATTTTCATCTTTACAGTCATCTTCTATCCCTTCATTGTATCAACCCTTATTTTGTACATATATGTCTTTCTTCCTTTAAAATTTTAGGAGGCACTTTTTTCTAACAGACCAAAATACGCCCAAAATCTAGTGTGTGGCACTGATCTATGCACTAGCCTGATCATATTTGATCACATTCTGCTTTTTTTGTATTGTTCTGTTTTTGTTTTTACCTTTTTTTTTCTTTTTTTTTTTCTCTTTCTTTTTTCTTTCTTTCCCTTTCTTTTCCCCTGGTTTCAGGTCTTTTCTGATTTGTATACAGTATATTTGCTGGGGACATTGTAAACCTGTTAGCATTTTGTTCTCTCATTCATCTATTCTCCTCTGGACAAAATGACAAGACGAAAAAAATCACCTCAGCAAAAAGAACAAGAGGTAGTACCATCAGCCAGGGACCTACTCAATACGGACATTAGTACGATGTCGGACCTAGAGTTCAGAATCATGACTTTAAAGATACTAGCTGGGCTTGAAAAAAAGCGTGCAAGTTATTAGAGAAACCCTTTCTGGAGAAATAAAAGAACTAAAATCTAACCAAGTCGAAATCAAAAAGGCTATTGATGAGGTGCAATCAAAAATGGGGGCACTAACTGCTAGGATAAATGAGGCAGAAGAGAGAATCAGTGATATAGAAGACCAAATGATGGAAAGTAAAGAGGCTGAGAAAAAGAGAGAGAAACAACTACAGGATCACGAGGGCAGAATTCGAGAGATAAGTGATTCGATAAGACGAAACAACATTAGAATAATTGGGATCCCAGAAGAAGAAGAAAGAGAGAGAGGGGCAGAAGGTATATTGGAGCAAATTATAGCAGAGAACTTCCCTAATGTGAGGAAGGAAACAGGCAT